GAAATGGGTTCGTACCAAGACTGAGGTGGTAATCTTTCATGAGTCTGATTACTGGTTTGACCATTGGAATGTCCATTAGCTTGCATAGGCTGTTTGTCTCTAGCCAATCTTTGCTGAGGGACATTTACTTCCTCCATGTGTCTTACATTTGTTGGTTGGTGGTTATTCATTCGATCCAAAAAGGATACTGCCCACCTTTCCATTGTGTTTATTAATTGTTGTCCCATGGCATCTACCAAGCCGCCCCACGGATTGACTGACTGAGTAGATGGGACACTGGATGGTCCAATTCGTTGGTCTCGTCCACTATTACGAACAAATGGTATTTGCTCTGAAGTATTGGTCTGTTCGACCATAGGTTCCGATAGGATAGGAGTCTCCACAGGATGTGTTATCACATTATCCTCTGGATTGGATGTCTCCACCTCTCCTTCCACGCCTTCTTCCAAACGTTCATTTTCTCCTTGTTTCCTATGTCTAGCCATTTTTTAAAGGGTCCCACTGGGCGTGCCAAAAATATATGTTGGCTTTTTGGCTTTCGAAGGTTACTTTTGTAATTATGAGTGTGCCAGTAAGGATCAATCAGTCTTTACAGAATTGTAATTGCCAAACAATTATTCAGACGATTATGTTATGGTTCTTTCGGCCTCAATAAAGAGGACTTTTACTGGTGGCTTACTAGTAATTTGACTTCAGAGAACTTGAGCATAAGAACAGTTAAATAAACTGAAGCATTTTATTAGTATGAAAAACTTACAATGATCTTAGTTCCGTAGAGAATTACAGCGGCAATATACTCGAAAACTACTCCTACAAATGAAGTGCAGTGCAGGAACTTAAAGTACAGAAATATAAAGGACAGGAAATAACACTGGAATATGTAAAGTAATTCTTTTGATCTTTTCTTCGTTTCCTTTTCTGAAGTCCTTCCTGCTATTTATACTTTCCGAAGATAACCATCGAATTGTACTTCAAACCGTCGAACTGCTCCTCCGTAGTCGCTGATCATGCTACCTTATAAGTAGCTCCACTACGCCTTCACTTGCAGTTAGGCTTCCCCCTTATATTCGAATTTGAATGTGAGCAACCGTTGAAGCCACGTCACTATACGTCTCTTTGTTGATCCGCTACTACTCAGATCTTATAACAACCAATATTAATTGCCACGTGTATGATCAGGATCGAAGACCTACCTGGTCTCCCCATATTACCCTCACTTTGCCACGCGTCGAATTGTCACTGGCTAGCACAAAATGTGTAGCCAACACCCATGCATGTAATGTAATAGAAGAGTTTGACTTAAATTAAACATATTTTGAAATATCTATGATTATGAATTAAATTGAGGTTAAAATAAATTGAGCTAAGCTTGAGATTAAGGAAATGAGTTTGGGAAAATTTATCAAGTAAGTTTAATTTGTGTTATTCCTCATGAATTTGGGCTTCATCTTTACATGCATCAATGAATCTTTGAGAAAGTTGGGGAATTAATTTCATGCTTGGGTACAAGGAGAGCAAGTTTTGGGAAATTATGAATTCATGAACATTTTGAACTTAATATTGAATTAAAGGAATTTTGGATGTAATTGGTTTGAATTTTGACCCTAATTTCGCACATGCAAATATTTTTCTAAGAGTTTTATGACTTTAATTTCATGTTTTAGATAATCCTCCATGCATCATGAATTAAGAAAGTTATGGAATTAGTCACATGGATTTTGTAAAAAATAAGGTTTTAAGTGAGAAATTAAGTAGACTCATAGTTGTGGAAATTAATTTGGAAAATTAATTGTTTTGATTTGATTTTGTAATATTTTCTTGTAATACATGAGTTTTAAGGGAATTGAGCCATTCAAGTTCATATTTTGAGGGGACAAAGGAAATGTTTTAAGAAAATCAAGTTTATGGAAATTTGAAATTAATCCTAAAGTTTAGATTTTATAATTAGATTTTTATTTAATCCATGCATGTGATGTAATTTAAGAATTTTATTCAATTTAAACACATTTTAGAACACCCATGATTATAAATTAAGTTTTTGGTTAAAAATTAAGTTAAGTTGAATTTCTAAGAAATTGATTTGTGTAATTCATAGTTAAGTTGATTTTGTTATTAATAATAAAATTGGATCTATTGGTATTACATACGTCATGGAATTTCAAGAGATTGGGAAGTCTAATTTATATTTTAGAATTGTGGGTTGATATAAAGAAGATGAGTTAAAACTAAATTTGGACAATTGGAGCATGATTTTGAATTAATGATTTGTAATTGAAAGTGTTTACTAAATTATACAATGGTTTTCCATTTTTGTGTACCAAAAATACATGTTTTGAGGCTTTGAATATCAAATTTGAACTTCAATTGCAATTCTGGAAATTCCAGAATTTACGCTGTTCGCTTGAGCGAGCAAAGTCTCATTCGAGCGTGAAAATCGAGCTCCCAGAAGTTTTCAAATTTTACAGTCCACTCAAGCGACCGAAGTGGCGCTCGAGTGAAGACCCTATTTTCAGCATATTTTGGAAAATTACATTTAGTTCACATTTTTATTCTCATCTCTTTCCAAGGCATTCTAGACGTGATTTATGACTCAATAAAGATTAATAAGCTACCAATCAACATAAATTAGTTAGTTAAAGAATGAATCATTAATCTAGTGGTAATTGTTTAAGAAGCCAAGTAAAAGATCAATCTATTTGGAAAAGAAGGACTTAGTAATGGAAGAATATGTGAAATAAGAACCTGGTTTATTTGAATGAGAAAGAATAAGCGTAGTAGAACTCCGAACTATTTAGACAGAAAAAGACTAGAAAAGTCAAGTTTGATCAAGGAAGTAATATGGTATTTCAATGTGTATATATTATGTGCTTGTGTAGGTTACGCGCCATTGTCTGTCTGATTTACCTGATATGTCCAGTCTGTCTGATTTGCTTCTGCAGCTACCTGTGAGTAATAACTTAGTAAAGCTATGTTCAGCTTTATTTATTTTCTGTATGATGAATTAAGATCTGCTTTCTGAAATGATATGTTCAGTATAATGAATGATTGTCCAATTTGTAATAATGTATTCGTGGCATCCTTAGCATCATGTGATATCTGTTAGCTGTTACCCGGTATCGGAGGTTCTATCATGGAACTTAATATGTCTGCACTCTATTACCCGTACTGGAGGCTCCATCATGGGGCTCAGCATGTTTATTCTCTGTTACTCGAATCCGGAGGTTCCTTTATGGAACTGGTTATTCATAACCACCATTTGTCTATATATGTTCTGTATCTGCTCTGTTAGCGCTAATGGATGTATCACGTATGATTAAGCATGGACTCTGATTTCTGTGTTTACTTTAAGCTAGAATATGAATATGAATCTGTTATGAATCTGAATTATGATTTTTGAATCTGGTATGGATATCATTCATTAAAACCCTTTACTCTGTTATTATTCACTGGACTCTAGCTCACTCTATTATTTATGTATGTAGGTGATCAGGCGCGTGACCAGGCTTAGAGGCATCTGCCTAGAATCTGTTTTTGTCAGCCAACCTATGTGCCTCCCGTGGAGGTTCTGGATATGTGAAGTGATTATGGCAATGTGATTTAAAGTTTAAGTTTTGTTTTCGTGTTTGGTTGAATAAGTCTTGTGTATTTTGTAAATAAGGCTAAGTCTCTTTTTGTCTAATCTGTACATATAGAATGACTTAAAGATGATGTGTATATATGTATATAAAAAGTTAAAAAAAAAATAAAAAAATTTATGTCTCATATAAGTCTGCACAGCTCAATGGACGTTGTATATTGTTATTTGCTTCCGCTAGCCCCTAATATTATGTTAATCTGTCTCAGAGGCCTTCGATAATCCCAGGATTACTGGCCGGTTACGATGCTAAACATATAGGGACGGGTTTGGGTCGTGACAGAGTGGTATCAGAGCACGAGTTAATACCTCACACACGTGTCCATTGAGCATTAGAATGTCTACAACGGATTTAAGTTTCATGCATCTAGTAAGTAAGTAAGAAGTTGTGCATTCAAGAATATGTATATACGTTTGTGTAATACGTTTAAGTACTAAAGCTAAGAATTAAGAACTATTGTGGACTTTTGATAATTATAAGGAAACTGGAATGTGTTGAATCAGTTTAGCAATGAGGCTGAAAGCTAAGAATTATGGTGAAATTTCTGAAATTTTTACTGTTATAAGGAAATCAGAATATTTGACTTGTACATTGGTGAGAATAAGTATGTTGATTTGTGGAAACATAGTATTATGCAGAATTAGAATCTTTAATGAAAGTCATGAAAGCTATATGGGTTATATGTTAAATTGGACTATGAGAATATTTGGAAATTGAGGAATTTGATGGTCAATGAAATATGTGGAACTATGGTAATTGAGGACGAGAAAAGTCATTTGATATGTAAGATAGTATATTTTGGTGGGAACCTATTATGTGGAATGTCAAACCGTAGAGTCTCATGCCTTTGCCGAATGACCTCGAAAGTCCGATTGGAATCACGTTTGGCCAGCGTAGCTTCGAATCGAAAATTCTTGGTAAATTCCTTGGGAATGAATAGGTTACCCTACCAATGTCCTTATATGCCTATATGTGTATGTCTACTTGTATATGATATGTGCTTTGTGTTATAATTTGAGTCAATTAATTAACCCAAGTGTTATCAACCATCTTCTTGTGTTTAACCCTTCTTTTCTGTCATTAGGGGAAGATGGTGAAAAAGTATGAATGGAGTGCCTTGGGAATGAATAGGTTACCCTACCAGTGTCCTTATATGCCTATATGTGTATGACTACTTGTATATATATGTGCTTTGTGTTGTAATTCAAGTTAATTAAATTAACCCAAGTGTTGTCAACCATCTTCTTGTGTTTAACCCTTCTTTTCCGTCATTAGGAGAAGATGGTGAAAAAGTATGAATGGAGTGGAAATTGAGTCTTTATCAGAGTGATTAGGTAAAGTAGAAGAAGTACTAGGGAACGTGGTGAAAGCTGTGAATCCTACCATACATGGCAAGATCAAAAGAAAGAGTTAAGTGTGGAAGTGAAAAGTGAATCAAAGAAGAAAACTAAGAATTTTGTGGTAGGAAAGACGAGTAATTCTAGGCAAGGTTGTAAGAGAAGTAAGTTATCCTAGTATGTCAATATGTCACAAGATCCATTGGAGGACTATGCCATCGAATTACTGGAAATGTGAGAAGTTGGGGCATCAAATAAAAGATTGTCCCAAATCTAAGAGAAAGCTCAAATAATTTAATTGGTTAAGGAGAGTACTTAACTACAAGTAGGACTACTTAAAGTTAACAGTTTATGTGCGAGTGATATTTTTAATAAAGCTATGTTATAATGTTTTGATAAAGCTTTGCTTTGTTTTGTTTTGGAAAAGTATTTGATCAAGCATGAATGATTATCCATTAGTTTCTGTATCAAGTATTAGCTTTCTTTTGATGACATTCTTGAAAGGTCCTTTCGTGGTAAGGGACGTTAAGCTTATGTAGCATCCTTGTTGAGATATCTCTTTGCCATCGACGGTCATGTACGGATGGTACCACCGACGGTCTTGTACGGGTGGGTTACGTTTTTCCACCGACGGTTTTCCGGGTGAATTGTCTAACCGATTTCGGGTCGGCCACCGACGGTCATGAACGGTGTGCTTCGATCCGGGACGGTTATTCCTTTGTTTTGTCACGGGAATGCCATCTTTGTATTAGGTAGATGTTAGTAAACATCCTAAGAAGCTTTGAAAGAATTCGATTGATGAACTGAATTCATCCCATATTTCGTTACAAGCTATGTTATGTATTGCTTGATAAAGATGGAACTCATTCGTTGGACCATTTAGAACTCAACCTGAAATTGCCAAAAAAAAAAAAAAAAATGATTAAAACATTGCTAAGACTTGAGCTAAATAAAAGACTAAATGATTTAAGCCAATGAAAATTTTTCTACTTGATGACCGAATAAGTAACACTTAATTTACTGGAATCATATTGTTTGGAACCTTTAAAAACATTGAAAGTGACCGATTATGATATATTGAATTACAAATCTGAAAGAATTATTCCCCTTCAAAAAAAAAAAAAAAAGGACGTAATGGGAAATAAGAGATTAAATTTCATTAGAATGACAAACATATATTTCTTAAAGAACATTTGGGAACATAAGAATTTCGGTCTGCTAATTGTTATGGTTTGAGAAAGCTTAAAATTTAGCCCTAAGATACCATGTGTCAAGTTATCAAAATCAATATATATATATAGGTCTAAGATTTAGAATAAGTATGAAGACAATGTAATTTGAATTACTTATGTAAATGTAACCTTAAGTAGATAAGAAACCTAATAAGGAAGCTAATGACAGCGTAAAACATAGACCTGTTGTGAATCGAATCACCACTTTGAAATGTTAGTGTGAGTTAGATTGTCAAAACGGTAATTTTAATTGCACAGAAGTATGTAAAGTTCTGCTCTGATCTGTATGACTGTCTGCTTTTATATGAGAGCAAGCCAACATCTGTTACTCAATAGGCTCAATGAATTTCTATGAAATATGCTTCTGTTATGACTCTGATATGCTTCTGTTTGGAATCCAATGTGCTCCTCTGTTTTGAACTTAGCATCATATTGGTACCCAAGATGTTTGTTTGAAACTGAGACCATTAATATGTGATTACAATTCTATATAATTCAAAAAATTTCGTTATAGATCAACCAGTGAAACCTTATTTGAAGGATTTAACATGTCAATAGCGAAATATTTTGATCTGTTTGAAAAATAAGGAGAATCATGAACATTCCTTAAAAGAAATCTCCTACTATTGGAAGTATATGAACTATAGATTGATGAGTTAAAGTATATGAGTTATGTGATTGATGTCAATAGAAACGATAGTGAATCGCCAATTTGGGTTATTAACCACTAAGTGATTGGGAATAAGTTCAACTTGTGTGGAGAAAGTCCAATGAAAAGAAGTTACCTAGGGGAGGAAATGAAGTGAGACCAAGTTATATAACTGATTTTCTGTACAATTATCTTAAGTTTGGAGGACCAAACTTCCTAAGGGGGGAAGGCTGTAACGACCCCATCACGTATAATGATTAGCACTTAATTAATTAAGGAGATTTGAAATTTTATCGCCAATTATTATAATTTAATCTGGGATTCACGAAAATTATGGAGATTGATTTATATATGGTTTTATCGAGGATTTATTTTAGAATTAGAAATTGAAAGCCTAAATGGCTCAAAAAAGTGCAAATAGTGATTTGAATTATTTAAATTTTGAGTCTCGGGTCATATGGGAGTTTAATTAAATATTCGATTCAGGTTTATAAAATTGATATTTGATTAATTGGGTTCGAATTGGAGTTAATTAAGTTAAGAGGATTGGGAATTAAGATTAATATAAATTAAATTCATTATGTGGTGCCTAATTTGAATATGTAATGTATTGACGAAATTTTGAGTTTAATCAGAAATTGAAGGATTAAATGATCTAAGAAACCAAAATTAAGGATGGAAATGAGTTTAATTTAATATTTGGAGCTTGATTAAAAATCTGATTCGGATTGATAAATTTAAATATATTTAATTAGGCTCTAATGGAAGTCAATTAGATTAATTAAATTATGGGAGATTTATGATTAGTTATGGTTAATTTAATTATATGTTAATAAAAACTTATTAAGAATAAGTGTTATTTAATTGAATTAATCTTAATCGTAAATTTAATTGCAGAATAATTTAGAGTTTGAGGATATATGTGGGTGTGTGTGCGCGTTAAGAAATCTGGGTGTGTAGAGAAATTCTGTGTGTGTGTGCGCGCGCGCGCATGTGAGTGTTGTGCTGGAGACTTCAAGGAGTGTGCACGTGTGTATTGTAAAGAAGGGAGTGTGAATACATGAGGAGAGAGAGAGTAGGTAACTCTTGGTTTTATTATTTTATCTTGCTGGGTGCATTCTTATGCTAGAGGGATTTGAGAGCAAAAAAAAAAAAAAAAAAAAAAAAAAAAAAAGAGGAACTTCACATTGCTTTTGGGCAACCCGTGAGTGAGAGAGAAAACCAAGAGAGGGATGGAAGCAATTTCAGCTCAAGAAGAAGGAAAACTAAGGGAAGAAAAGCTAGGAGGAACAAGGGTATTAGAAGGGAATCAATTAAACTTCTTGAGATTAAAGTTTAAGGTATGAAATCAAACTTAAATTTTTTGTAGAATCTTTACATTACACTTGAAATTAAGAGGAGTTTAAGATCAATTTCATGGAAATTGTAAGGACATGGGTTTGAACAAGAAAATAAAGCTAGGATTCATAGTTATGGGAATAAACTTGGAAATTAATCATTTTTGGTTTGATGTTGAATATCTTGCATGAATTTGGGGCTTATTTCTACATGCATGTAATTGGAAGAATTAAAGAATGAATATGGGTTTTGATTTTAATTATTAACCCATGCATGTAATGTAATCTAAGAGTTTGACTCAAATTAAACATATTTTGGAACATCTATGATTATGAATTAAATTGAGGTTAAAATAAATTGAGTTAAGCTTGAGATTAAGGAAATAAGTTTGGGAAAATTTATCAAGTAAGTTTAATTTGTG